ATATATATATATATATATATATATATGTATATATTATGTTACTTCTGTGCATCTAACCCAACTCTAAACAGCTACTCTGTACCTGCTTTGAAGAAACATAGCATGATGTTGTTACCTCCATGTTTTACTGAAATATGGCTTTAACTCCAGTATCAGATTTTATGGTGCACACGACTAGTTGTCCTGTGGAGAGTTTCTCCCACCTGGGCTGCGGATCTCTTAGGATCCACCAGAGCTACCATGTATATTATGCTGTATGTAAATGAGATCAAGGGGTCTGGAGACTGTTCAACACATTCCAAAGCATGGTTAAGTGCTACGTTGTCTTTCATTAAGGAAACAACATGGTGAAAACATGAGCATTTTTAAAAAGCTCATCACAGTGGGGTCTTTGACCACTACCAACCCTATAAAAACCTACAGATAACTCCAAAGCATAGAAAAACTCATAATTATGCTATTCTTTGACAGCAGAACTCAATTGTCTAGAAATCATGTATTATACTAGACAAATGAGCTAACGCTCACTTAACCCAAGGATGCCTAGTCATTTGCATATCGGTGTATGAAGGTGTACAAATTACTATTCTCCTGCCTATTACTATTACTAGTAACTTTTTACTGGTTAAGTGCATCAATAGGTTAAGAATTTCACTGCATTACAGGAAAAAAAACTCTATTGTCATATTCTGACTCTCATTTTATTAACCATCAAATTTACAAAAAAAAGTATTTTAATATCTGAAAAAATAACTAGATTAGGCCTATTTTAAGAAATAATGCTTTTTTTTTACTGCAGAAAGCAAGATGACTATGCATCATTTTGTAGAATGGATTCAAGCCAATCTATATTATGGATAAGTAAAGATGAAAGACTGGAAAAATGGAGAAAAAAAATCTAAGCAGATGCAGCTAGATGGACAGACGGACTGAAGGAGACATGCGGAGGAGGATCTTAGAGGGAGAGAGATTGCCTTGTTCTCCTGCCTTTTCCACCCATGCCTTCACTCTATAATGACACAGCAGTTGGCCAACTAATGACACAGTAAAACATACTACAACAGTCTCAATCTATGCATGGACACAGCAGCACTGAGGTGACTCTACATTAAATTGAAAAGAATCAATTGTGTGAATATAAAAAGAAATAAAGCAACAGTGAGAAAAAATCTTTCTTGTCAAGATTTATTCTGTTTATCTGTTAAATACGATAATCTAAATTCAGAAGTGGAACCATGTCTGTCTGCTTATAGGTAAAGCTATTAGGCTGTGAAAAAAGTCTTTATAACAGATTGGGTGTGGGAGACAAAGAAAAAGTCTTAAATATACGCTTATTTCCAGTCTTTATCTTGGCATGGCGAATTAGGCGGCTCTGATCTGTGAATATCACCAGTTATTGTTTCCTAACAAGAAACATGTCGTTTCTGTTTTGCCGCCCCTGTGAAATCATCTTTTGGTGCTGAGAGCTGCAGGCTAGAGTATATAGTAATTTTTCCAGGACCTTACAAACAAAAATGAACTGGGATGCAAAGATGATCAAAGACATGCTTAACACATGATACTTTCAGTGTTGAATTTGATGAGCTTTTGATTAATTTGTGCAGTGGATTCCCGAGTTTTCTAATAAGAGCTCTTTGAAGCAAAACAGCCATCTGTCCTTCCTTCCTTCCTTCCATCCATCCAGTCCAAGGCCAGATGGGATATGTAGATCCACCAATGA